AGAGATTAGAGAACTCAGACACCTATTTAAAACCAGATATATTATATGCAGCAAATCAGCTTTCCACTGTAAAAAGTCAAGCAAAACTCAAACTGTATACAGAGTACCTTTTTAGGCTGAAAAGTAATTCTTAACCTGGTTAATTTGTTTAGCGTTCAATTACATACTTTAAGAAGGCTGTAGTACTGGTGTACTGAACTGCATTTAGAAGTGTTTTCTTATATTCTGCCTACCTTATAGTGTGTAAATATGCTACTCAGAAAATTAAAGGAACAGATTTTAATCAGAGTATAGCATCAAGTCAGTTAAACGTCTGGGATACTGACCAAGTTAGTTAAGTAGCAGAGGGGGTTGTTAATCAGTTTTAGCTGCTCTACTGTTGATAAAATAAACAACATGTGCACTAGAGGGGAAAAAATGAGACGACCACCAAAACAGGAATGGTTTTAAGGGTGGAGGCCCCCAGGATTGTTTACCCTCATCTTTTCTGACTTTTCGCGAGTTTTGTATTTTGCCAAGGTCAGTGTCAGTACTGGTAACATGAGGCAATACCTGGATGCTACAGAGGTTGTACAGGTAATCCAACTCCTCTAGCATGGCACTTCAACATATGCCATTGCCAGAACATGTGCCATGTCTCCCAGCAAAGTCTGAAGAGCATGGAGGAGATTCCAGGAGACGGGCAGTTGTGCTGCCGAACTGTACAGGCCATACAAGGTTCTTAACCCATCAACAGGACCAGTATCTGCTCCTTTGTGCAAGGAAGAATAAGATTAGCACTGGCTGAGCCCTACAAAATGACCTCCAGCAGCAGGCTACTGGTGTGAATGTTTCTGTGCACTCCTCCAGCTTTAATTGAATGGGGTATAAGTATTTCGTTAACTGTTTACAAAATGGATATCGGTGTGTGTGTGTGTGTGTGTGTGTATATGAAAATGAACGTTAGAAATCTTATTATGTTCCCAAAGTTTTACAACTTTTTGGCAATGATAAAAATGCTTGAACCTTAATACCACCAGAAGCTAGGTGAGGCTAGATTCTGAGTAGGTAGGACTGGGAGGAGGGTTGGTAGAATTTTAGTTAATGGTTGACTTGACACAACACATTTTATTTCGCCTGTTTCTAGTTGTGCAGTGAAGGTGTTGTGTATTGGTTGCTGTCGGTGTCCCTTGAGTGGTTAGCTTGTGTGTTGCGGGG